CGCAAAGCACCTCCCCTTGCACAAAAGCCTTCACTTGCCGACCCATTGAATTTTACCTTCTTAATTAGGACTTATCTCTCCAAAGTTAGAGTAAGCTTAGATGGAACAAATCACAAATGGAATAAGTTTAAATAAACTTTTGATGCTATTTCTTCTATCCCAAAGAAATGTTCTGTATTTTTATTTATATTTGTCAAAAAAAAAATATTTGGTTAAAATTTTACATAATATATTTTATTAAATTATTCCTAACTAAAATTTATTTTATAAAAAATTATTTAAATGCAGTTCTAGATAAATAATATTTTTTTAAAAATGAAAAAAATAATGATATAACATGATAATTAATAATCTTTTTAATCCAGGTAAAAAGTCGAGACAGACAATCAGCATATATAGTATCTGCTAAGCATCTAGATGTGGTATCATAGTGAGGAGTTACTGCATTGGTCGGTTTGGACTAATAGGCTATTAAAAAAATTGAAGATTAGAACTCACATTTCAGAGATTGATGGATAGTTGTACGCAATTCGAAAAGTACTCTTTTCTTAACCCGATAGAGGATTCAGATTGTCGGAATATTCTCTGTTTTTTTTTAAAAAAAAAACATGGGATGTTATTTGAGATTTACAGTTTGTTTCGCATTAATCCATGCTCTCGTCTAAATCCTAATTTGTCCATTTGCAGTCATCATGAATTTGCACCATTTTTATAGTTTCAAATCCAGTCTTCAAATGACAATAACCCTAGCCAATGACAACAACCCAACTCCCATGCTAATTATTTGTGTGCATTTTGTACCCACGGCCACAGATGAGATTGCTCTTATTTGTTTTTTTAAAAATATTATTTGACATGTTTACATTAAAACCAAAAAAAAAAAAAAAATTAGTCGAGACGCGAAATCAGAGATTTATTTTCTTAATTTGTAGGTAAATGTTTTTTCTTTTTTTTCTTTCAGAATCTTGAAATTTTACTAGGCTGTAATAATATTGATGGATGAAATGTTGCAATGTTGCAATGTATTGATGTCCCAATTTTGACAAACATGGTACGGTCGTTGGTTGGTGCGTCGCTTGATATATACATGTCTGCTAATTTGTTAGGCTGTTCCATGTTTTAACCAATTCATACTGCCATGGTACCCATTGAGACAGGGATCACAAGCTAGCATTAGGTGGTAACCTGAAGTTTAGATCATCTGAGCTGGACTAGCATTAGTGTCTTTCTTTCTATTTTTGTTGTGTGTTTGGCATAGCATATCCGATTGAAAATGCTCCTTCAACAAAAGGCAAATAAATTAGCATGTGGCCACAACAAAAATTGAAGAGAGAGAGAGAGCGAGAAAGAAAACATCCTTGACTAAACACCCATGATTGATGTTTGGTTAACCATATGGATGTGGCATTCTTTAGGGTCATTATTTCTTGCCATCAATCTAATTGTGCGTCCAATAGGAAACCTATATATCCATCTGGTTGTCAAGTCATTTAGCTGGCATTACCAATTAATTAACAACCATTAATCATCCCAAAGCCACCGTTTTCCCGAGTTGCACCCGTCAATAATTGCGGCAAAGTATTGATTTTTTATTTTTATTTATTTTATTTGAAAAAAGAACTACAAATAGGATGAATTAACAACGCAATGAACATGAAATATTAATTTTCACACCAAAAGTATTTAGATTGCGAGTGATTTTTTTCCCAGATGTATGTAAAGGGATCTCACGAAAATATTTTGGCTTTTATACCCCTACATATCGAAGGATGCATATACCTTTATTAAAGCCAAACCTTAATTAAATTGATTTGGTGGGGAGTTGACTTTAATTTTACTGAAAAAAGGAATCAAAATCTAGATTTAACCATGAGAAATAATCATATTCATCTTAAACTACTATTATAATTTTTTAGACTATTTATCCAATAAATACGCCCTCTATTATCCTATAAAACAAAATTATTTTAACCTAAAAAATTAAATTGTATTAATTGAGATTTAGAGTATTATTTTATATATATTATTCTCTAATAAATCAAGATTAATACATCCAAGTTCTTTTTTTTTTTTTTGTTTATTTGCTCTAGTTCGATAATTAAATATAGGGAGTTTTTTTTTCTTAAATTAAATTACTCTAGGATGGTTATAAAGACACACCCTCCTAATAAATTTGAATTTAATAAATTTTCACCTAAAATCTCAATAGTAAGATGGCTTAGGTGCCTTGCTTGCGACATGAGTCCCGTCCCTGTCGCTTTACAACACCACTTGTTGCCCTGCTCAAGCAATCCAAAGCTGCCGTTGCACGAGACTATCTGATCGTTTGGTGTACGTGCTTTGTCAGGTGAATACTCAGTTGGGGAGCACTTGAGTCTTATACAGGAAGCAAAAGGACCTCTAAAATTACAGCCACCAGACAGCAGAATGCGTAGAGATTGCCAATTTGCAACTTTTGGGAACCAAATAAAGCTAATCACTCCCAAAATGTTCTTCCATAGCTATAGCTTGTATGATGATAATGTACCTTTTATTTTTTAGTAGGATTCATTCTAGGACGTACTTCACCAAATATTGGACTAATGATAAAAGCATGATTGCATGTTAATGCTTTGCTTTAATTGATGTGTACTTCTTTATTGCACTTTACTTTAGTTAATTACCCTTTTTTTTTTGTTGGCATGTAGCCTAGAAATCGGATTGTGTTCACACTCAAAAGTTGAGGGATCAGTAAAAAGAATGAGATCCTTATTTGGACGAGGCTACTCCTAATCTAGATGGACAGGATTAGAAGCAATGATTTCTTAGAGAGATATTTCGCAACAAATAGTAATTAGATAAAAGAGTAAAGCCAGCTAGCCCGTCTCCCACTAAATTGCCTTCCCTGAAACTGTCCATGATTTGTTGAAGGCAAACCAAAATGTTCATTAATTTACAAAAAGAAATCTACTATTACTTTATATACATATTTTTTATTTATGGTCTACTTGTTATGATGAATGGATGTGGTAAAATAAAAGGATATACTAAGAAAAAAAATGTTTGGTTTATAAAAAAAGAAAAATAATGAAAGTTAAGTAATTCAAATTGAAAAGATTGAAAATTAGAAACGACAATGGATATAAGGGAATTTATTATCTAGATCTTGCCCTGCCCCATCAGTAGATAATCTTGCTTGAGAATTTTCCCGGCAGAGTTGAATCTAGTAATCATTGCTTATTTCTGCTCTTTGGAAAATTTTATAGACAGTGATTGGTAGAGGTTGAGCTTGATATGATCAATAAAGTTGTATTTACTGTTGATTAATAACTGATTAAATGAAAAGCTAAGTCTCGGATTTTCAATTGTGCTCTATTTAATTTAATTAAGGATGAATATATATGCCATTAAATACTAAATTATGACTCTATATATGGTTTATACTTTACGCTGCCAATAATTAATTATCTGTCAAGCCTGAACTATGCAAATAATGAATAATACTAGATAAATCTTATAATGGTAAAAGAATAATTAGTGACATGTACAATAATTACTCTATGGATTTATTTTGAGAAAAGAAATAGATACATAAAAAAAGAGAGAATAACATCCGAATCCATAAAAAATGATAAAAATATTTTTCTGTTCGTTTATTTTTTTAAAAAAATTTCTTACTCTTTAAGTATTATAAAAATTCTCAATAATACTATACATGTAGAAATATGCGTAAGAACAAATCCTCTGTTTCCTTTTTCCTTCGGATAAGGATTTCAGCCCTCATTTACCTACACGAGTAGCGAATTTTTAACTTGTATTAGCAAATTCTTATGCCAAATTTATTTTATTTACTAGATGTCAGTTTTAAGTAATAGGAATTACAAACTTTGACAAATTACACACGCAAAGAATATACGATTTTTTTTTTAAAAAAATGTTATTATAAATTCAATGAAACTCTGTTGTTGTAACAGGATTTTATTTAAGTAATAAGAACTAAAACCTTTGACAAATTAAAAAAAAAAAAAAGAAGAAGAAAAAGAAGAAGAAGAAGATTTTTTTAATGTTATTATAAAGTCAACCTGGTTGTTGTAGTAGGAGTCCATATAATGGAGCATGGCATCTCTATATTTAGTAATTCATATAAACTTAAGAAAAATTAAAATTAAAATCGTTCAAGATATTTTTTTTATATATCTATAATAGAAATCGACGAGATGAGACTTGAATTCGAAATCTCACCACATTTCCTTTTAGAGAAGCACTGAAATATAAGTTCATTGGTCATTCAAATTATTTTAATGGATCTAAATAATAGTAATTCTATTTTCTAATTAATTTAAACAATTTTGTATGCAAATATTTTTCATATGCAACACTCATATTACCAAAACAACCCATTTCCTCTCCTTTCCCATTTCATGACCCATAATCCATGTAGCTTCTGCAAAGGGGAATACAATTCTTGAGATGGCATGGAGATTCTAAAATTTAAACCAGGCTACCAAGAGGAAGTGCATGCCAGCAAACTCACTCTCTTTCCTTTCAAATTTCCATGATTTAGCAGACCCATCAAAGGAATTGTGTCTCATGGTCCATCTTACTGGGCCTTCACAAATGCCAACATTGGTGCCCATCTCAAGCAGCCTTTAGCAGTTAGCACCCCACTCTCTGGCCATGACCACAGGCAATTTGTAGTCTCAGCCGTTCCATTAACCAGGACACCAGCTCTGTGGTGTGGTGTCCCAAGCACTCAGATCTTTGCGCTCCCCAGTGAATGAAGATTGGAACTATGACAATTCGGGCTAAAGAACTTGGCTCCAATTTCATGCGACCCTTTACGTAAAATTTTGTCTATGCTACTTTTTGATGGACAATTCTTGGATAAAAAATTAGCAATACTAGCAGATGCTAATTATTCTTAGATTATGAACCAAACAAATAAGGGCAAGGCAAATAATGTTCTTGCATTAAGAAATGTGACAGAATTCTTCTCTTAAATTTCCTACTCTGACATGCTCTCAGCGTTTGGCTACCCTCTTCGCATTTACTACTTCAGCTCGGAAATCAACTCTAGAAGGCGGCAATTGTTCAAACAAAACCTCCATAATATTACTGAGTGCCCCTTTGTCAAATGGATTTTGTGACCCCATGTAGCATTGACGGAAACTCTCATAGCCTGTCTGCATCAAAGTACACAAAAAAAAAAAAATCATCAAAGCGAACACATACAAGCAATGCATATAAATTGATGAACGGAGAGTTTAAATGTACAAGCAATACATGATATGATCTCCAAGGAGAATTCAAGATCATACCAAAGTGGTAGGATAATTTGAAGACAACCCTGTGTTTAAATACTATTGCACAAATTGACTACCCCTTGAATGAGCAAAACTGAATCTTTTTTATGATTGGAACTTGGAAGCCCAGTTATTTTCATTCGCAAAAAAAAAGAGGATATGTTGTACCAACCTGATTTCTTGCAAGCAGAAATACATGGAAGATAGTAAGGCTGCCTAAGAACCAGATAGTAGCAAAACTAAATGATACTAATGCTAGAGTTTCAGGACAGTTCTTCAGCATTCCAAGTAATCCAGTGCCAGTTCTCAGCATTCTTCGATGGATTCTCCAGCACGAGAATGAAAATACGTAAATAAAGAAAATCAAGGCTGACACGATGAATGTTAGGTAAAATCGGTAGTTTCTCTGCACAAACACAGGTCATCTTTCAGAGTACTGCTTGCTAATTATATAAGATGGAAGGAACAGTTTGGTCGTACGTGTTAATACCAGTGCAATGCATTGACCGATCCACGGGCAATGGTGATCAAATTTTTCGACACAATTATCACAGATGGCGCAATGGCAACTCCTGGGAGGCCTAAAAATCTTGCAAATGCGGCAATATTTTAGTTTGATCTCCACCCCATTAACAGTTACCCTCTTTTTCCTGGTTCCATCACTCGTGCCAGCAGTTTCCTCAATCGATGATCCATCATTTCTAGGAATAATTCCTGGATCAGTTGTACTAACCAGAAACAAGTTAACCAGAACCTGCATTTCCAATAAAAATAGAAGGGACAAAAATTAAATTCGATCCTTGCTGAGTACTAAATAATATTACCGCTAATGTTATGGAATGTGAGGGACTGACAATAACTGTTAAAACCAAGGAAAAGGCTATAATGAGACCGGAATCTTGCTGCAAATCATCCCTACTATACATGGCAAAAATCCAACTTGAAAGTATTATCGAAACAGTTGTTAACAGCAATCCCCTAGGATCTGGGCCACATATGAGTCGTCCATGGAAAAAAACACCTGCAGCGGTAACCAATTTTAGTACAGACAAATTATAAAAGGTGATTGCTAATTGTTATAGTTTTTTTTAGAAAGTGAGAACAAGTAGATAATTTGTGTTGGAATATTGGAACGTACATTATTCCCTGGCCAAACCTGGTAAGCCCTTGTTATGTCTGAATTGCCTCCACAACCATATCGTTGTAGCCACTGATCCTCAATAAACCTTTGGGCTGCCACAAAATTCTGTCTTATTGTATCCATAACCCTTGCCATCTTCATACCCACTTTGTTATGTAAAACCTGAGTTTCCTTTTTTGTGTCATTATTCTTGTTTAATACATGTCCAAATTCTTGTTCTGGTGTTGGACTTGAAAGAGCAATGGCTTCCATTTCAAAATCGTCTTCATCATCAATCCCTTCTGCTTGTGAAATATTCATGAGTTCATTCATTTTCTAAAATTTCTCTCCCCTTTTGTTTTCCTGAAATGGAAAAAAATACTCTTGATAACTGAATTTGGAAAACTGAAAAGCAGTTACCAGCATAGATGGGTTTATAAAGAGAGTTAATTATAATTTTGTCCCTTTAGTTTATCAGAACAAGTCAATTAGTCCGTATAGTATCATAAATAATTAAATAGCTTTTTAACCAGCGTGGACCACTCTCATTTCAGTAACTTTTTGCTACAAAAATGCTTTCTTTCCTTATTAAAATTTTCCATATTATTTTATACTTCACTTTTATTTTGTTTATTAATAAATTAGAAAGTACAATAGTTTTCTACTTCTTTTAAATGACTTTTTTTTTTAGGTCTTTGTTACACACACACTACGCTTTCTGTGAAATTTACAAAAATACTTTCTAACCTAATTAAAATTTTCCACCTTACCTATTTCTCTTACAAATTGTTTATTTTTCAAAAAAAAAAAAAAAAACGAGTATGGAATTGAAAAAAGAGCTAAATTGTAAATAAAATTAAATATATAGTTTATGAAACCAAAAGGACTAGTTAAATACTTCCTTTAATCTACAATGATTAAGTTATAATCAACTCTTAAGAAATCCATCAGATGGGCCTGAGTATAAACAAACTACAAAAGGCCAAAAACAAAAGCCCATTAACCGATCCAACCCAAAACCTAGCCACCAGAAAAACCTCCTCAAACTTGAACCCAGCCGGTAGCCTTTCCGTTCCATTTCCGCTCCAGCAGCACTCACTTCAAGCAAGCAAGCAGAAGAAGTAGAATAGCAGAAACAGTGAAGAAGGATGGAATACAGAGACAAAATAAAAATCACAGCAGTGACCATCACTTCTCTAGCAGCACTCTCTTCTGTTATTTTTCTAATAACCACCTTCTCGCATTACTACCGGAGACGCCGCAAGCAGCAGCGGCGGCGAAGACAAAGTTCATCATGCTACTTACAATCCAATCAGAAACCACAGCTTTCTTTCAAACGCGTCTTAGTTGATAACTCCTTCTCTCAATTCAAGCATTTGAAGCTATTGGGTAAACGCCTTTTTCTTTTCTTTGTTTTTTTTAAACAATACTTGGAATTGTTTTGAATTTTGTTTTTGCATTGCGGCAGCGGAGAACTCATCGAATTTGCATCCATATGATGCGGAGATTAAAGCTTTGATAGAGAATCCTGGAATAATCGAATTCGAAGAGTATGATAGTTTTAAGAAAATGAATGATTTTTCTTGTTATGTTTGGATCGAGACGGAATCTCAATTGAAGGAGTTAGCTAATACATTGAGTAAACATAAGGTTTTTGCTGTCGATACGGAGCAGCATAGCCTCCGCTCTTTCCTTGGTTTCACTGCTCTAATTCAGGTCAGTTAATTAATTAATAAGAATTTCATTTGTTTTTTTTTCTTTTCATTTTGATGATATTTTTTCCTTGTTTAAAATTTACTCAGATTTCTACTCAAAACCAAGATTATTTGTTGGATGCAATTGCATTGCATGACGCAATGGGTGCTCTTGCTCCTGTTTTCGCTGATGCTACTATTTGTAAGGTAACTGATTGTAATGATCTAATTATCAAGTGGTTAGTGACATTCATGTTTTATGAAATTTTTGTGGGTGACAAAGGTGTTTCATGGGGCTGATAATGATGTTCTCTGGCTGCAAAGAGACTTCCGTATATATGTCGTTAATTTGTTTGATACTGCCAAGGTCAGCTTTGGTGTTTATCGTGATTGGTTATTGGCAATGTTTGTTCCATAAATTTATTAACTTCTTAATTTGCATTCCTGCCGTGATACTGCTGCAGGCGTGTGAAGTGTTGTCAAAACCACAGAAATCACTAGCATACTTGCTAGAAACGTGCTGTGGTGTAGCCACAAACAAATTGCTACAGGTTTGGGATTGGGACTTTTAACTACGCAGTTCCTTCCTTTTGGTGAAGCTTTTTTATTAACTATACAATAATTTAGTGACCTTTTCTTCATTTGAATACTTCTATTTAGCATGGAAAAGGCATGTTTACTAGCTCCTAATCTAATATTTGTCATTGCTTATGTCAAAACATATATGATTAGTATATTGTCTACTGAAATGTAGCGTGAAGATTGGAGGCAACGCCCACTATCAGCAGAAATGCTAGAATATGCTCAAACAGATGCACACTATCTACTATATATTGCAGGTTGTTTAATAGCTGAGCTCAAACTGCAGGACAGTGGTATGTCTTCAATTGTGATCACATATCATCAAACATTTAGTTTCTATCAACATAGAAATGAAAGCAAATGAAAGGATTGCATCATATTCAAAACAACAAATGCCAGGCATCAAGTTTTGTTGGAGTGTGGAAAGAGGGATAGGGTTTGCATCTATCAGGAGAATTTGTAGGAAGACTTACTTTTGACATTCATAATTGAACAAAAATTCCATACCTCCCTAAGAGTAGGAAATTTCCTACTTCCCAGATGTGGTACTCATTTAAGCCTTTGTATACTTGTCTGCAATGCACCGAACACACACAATTAACTCTCTATCGAACTCGATCCTTTTTAAACTTAACACTGTGTTTCTATGTCTCTCTTTCTCAAAAAAAATTTTCTCGTCATCTTGTTCTTTATCATAGAACACCAGGTTTTTGGATACAGACTCCAACTCAATTGAGCAGGATGGTTTATAGCACAGTTGCTCTTGAATAGAACATAGAAACCAACCCTACTTGCCTTTTTCAGTGTTAATTTAGTAATATGGGCTTTTTTACAAATCAGCCTCACAAACCTAAAATCAATTTCCCACATGTCAGTGTGAAAATTTGTCACAAGTACCCGCTGTGTTTTGCTAGTTTTATGATGTTAATTGGTTACTTTGGAGAGTTCATTGTGTGTGCATTAGGTATAAGCATTAAAAATGTGTAAATGTGGGGCCTGTTAGGAAAGACTTCCTAATTATATGGAAGTTGGAAATTTTTGTCCTTCATAATTTGTTGGGGCACAATAGCAGAGAGGAAAAAAAAAAAAAACTAATTAAGTGGGGAAACAACATACATTATGTTTGGCAATTGTTCATGGTTGGATATATTTTCAGGTTGCAAGCCATTTAAATCATGCATCAGCTGTTTCTTGTAGAATCTAGTTGCTAAATACATCAATGTATCAGATAAGTCAACCTGTCCCAATGACAAATTCGATTTTGTTCTCGAGGCTAGTCGTCGTTCAAACATGACTTGTCTGCAACTCTATGCTAAAGAGATTGAAGCGTCTCCTGGTGAGTCTGCTGCATCATCAATTTTTTACCGTCATTTGAATGGTCAAAGAGGATCATCAATTTCATTTGAGACACAGGTGCACTACTTTACACATGTTATTGGCATAGGTTATCTTGAATGACCTTCACATTTTTTTACTAATGTTAGAAATCTCACTTATTTTCAGGATCTTGTGAGGCGTCTTTGCACATGGAGAGATCTAATGGTTAGCTGTTTCATTTTCAGCAATTTGGTTCCTGATGGAGAACATTATATTTTTAAAAAACAAAAAACTTTATCCTGCACTAGGTATTGGGGAAAAAAAAATTTATTGTCTCTATCGCATATTATACTCTGAACCTAATTTTAGTGATAGGCAATCACACATTTGTAGTTATTCAATTCGAGAAAATGACTTGCCATTTCATCAATAATCAACCTGAATGAAAAAATTAGCTATAGACATGTATGTAGAACCTACTTAATGTGGAATATAGTCTAATTGTCCAAACAGCATTGTAACTGAAATAACAAAGCACCTTCTGGATTTGTTTGCTTCTGTTGAGTTTCACTAACAGTCTGAGTGGGAAGAAAATAACTGTTCTCTGCCATTTTTCCTGTTATAACATGCCAGTATGACCAAATAGAATATTTATCACGGTTTGACATGCTTTGTTCATGGCAGTATCATGAAGGGTTGAAAAGGATGCAAAACTCATGTTGAGGATCATAATTGCTAGTGTGGACCTTCTTATAAGTAATTTTCCTTGGCCTATCGCTATCCTTGGCCTATGCAAAATGGCATTTTATGTCTCAGATTGTTATAAGTGATTATGTCTCAGCATGAACATAATGATCTAAACTATCTGTACTGGATTATGTTGAGATCAAGCTAGGCAAGTACTTGTCGCCTCTGATTGTGAACAGGACAATTGACTTGCAGACTTCCTTCTAACTTACCTTAATACTTTATGCCATTTTCCCTGCCTTAGGCTGCCTTCTTTCTGAATTACATTGGTCTAATACTGATGCTAGCAATAATAATTTGACTTATCAAATTATTGATGTCAATGCTTTATCACATTAACCTTTATCTTTTGCTTGTCAAAAGATTAGTGATGGGAATTTGACTGTTTTTTTTTAATATATATTAATGGTTCCAATTCATTCTGTCCTCCTACACGTTATCCTCTATGTTAGATGCACTAATTTCGTATGAGTTTCTTTTGACGAAGCATGTCATTTACTTCCCTTCCATTTTTAGAGTTACTTATGCGGGTTTGCACCTATTGTATTCCTGCCTTAATGAAGCCATGTTGCAGACTGCATTTTCATTGTTTAAACTTATCGTGTGTTCGAACTTCCTTTCAGGCTCGTGTTCATGATGAGAGCTTGAGATATGTATTATCAGATCAGGCTATTGTCTCTCTTGCAGTCAAAGTTCCCACCACTCCAGAAGAAATATTTGACACCATAGCAGAAGCTGATTTGAATGTTGAAACTGTGAATTTAAACTCTTCTCTCCCATCTCCATCCTCTGTTGTTTGCAGTCATTTGAATGATCTCTATTGCTTGATCAGGGACAAAGAAAGCAATGCTGATGACATTTTCCCTCAAATTCTTAAAAATTGCCTGGGTCCCAATGGGAGGTGTCCATTGTCTGTTTATAATTATGCATTACTGATGAACTTTGATCTAATACTGAAAAATAGACTAGTTTCCAAACAAAGTCCAATTACAAATTCAAAGCAAGTTGTTCGGAAGGCTTCAAGAGAACTATTTGTTCAAAAGTTCTCCTGTAAATCTCCAGTGTATCATAACTGTAGGATCTATGCAAATGATGGGCGGTTGCTTTGTTATTGTGATCGTAGAAAGCTTGAATGGTAAGTCAACTCTGTTTTTTGTTTTCTTCTTTTGTCCAATTACAAATGTGTTGCACTTAACAGGACTGTGTTATTGTCTTCTAGGTATCTTCGTCGAGATCTGGCAAAACTCGTTGATGATGATCCTCCTGCTATAATGCTTCTTTTTGAACCAAAAGGCCGCCCAGAGGATGAAGGCAATGATTTTTATATCCAAAGTAAGAAAAATATATGTGTTGGCTGTGGTGAAGGAAGTCATTACTTGCGCTATCGAATAATTCCCTCTTGTTATAGAATGCACTTTCCTGAGCATTTGAAAAGTCATCGTTCTCATGATATTGTCCTCCTTTGTGTCGATTGTCATGAAGTTGCTCATGCTGCTGCTGAAAAGTACAAAAAACAGATTGCTGCAGAATTTGGAATTCCACTTTTCATTCGTAAAGTAGTTGATTTTAAAGAAATTCCAGTTATAAGTGGGCCATCTTCATCAGAAATGGATGTTGAGGATACAGGTGTGTCTCCTTTACAACTGCGCACAGCTGCTATGGCTCTTTTGCGCCATGGACAAAGAATGCCAACCAAGCGCCGTGAAGAACTGACACAGGTGAGTAGACAATATCAGTGGGCATTGTTGTGTGCATGAGTGTGTGTGTGTGTGTACATGTAGGTATTTTGATGAATTGAGTTTCATTTTTTGTAGTTGGGTAAACAAGACTGATGGTTTTATTTTAAAGAGTGCCAAATATGATTTTTGTTTTTGATTATATCAGGTATTTTTAGGCATTCCAAACATCAAAATAATTTTACAAGGAGCCTAGAGAAGGATGTCCAGCCTTTAGAATTTGACTTTTATATTACCATTTTCTGTTCATACTATTCTTATATTAATGTTATACTTTACTGTGAACCAGAGACTGTTGGAATTTCACAAATTAAATTGTCACCAGTTGACAGTGAAAATGACCCTGTTTATGGGGACAGATTTCATTGAACCCAAATTACTCTAGCAAATAAAACCTCCTAATCAATTGCATTTGGGAAGCCTTGATGCAAAATTGTTGTATAAAAATTGAGTTTGGGCCGTGGAGTAACTATTGGTATTTATTATTTGAGCACTCTAAAATTTCTCAACATGCAACCATTATACACTATGTGGCTTCTGGTTACTCATTGATGTTTGTGGGATTTTAACCTTCTCACGGGATTTTATTCTGCTGTTTATAGATTATCATGCAATATTATGGAGGAAGGGAGATATCCGAGGAAGATTTGGAAAGGGCTCTGCTGGTCGGCATGAGTCCTCAGGAAAGAAGGCGATTTGAGAAGAAGAGAGGGTTTTCATCAAAACATTCTACTGAGATTATCCGTTTGGACAAAGAACAGATGAATGCAGCTCATACCATGGCTGAATCTGCCACTGAAAATTCATTGAAAATAGCTGATACTATTGGTGCTCTAAAAACTACTGAAGTGGAATCAACCAGTACAAAAGGAGGAGAAGACTATTTCATGGTAACCGAAAGTAAAGGAGTAGTGTCTGCTATTGCTAACAAGGAAATGATTTCAGATGAAAATGAAGCTTCTCATACAAAAGACAAATATGTTGGAAATGTTGATGAGAAATGTGAAGGAGGTCCACCAAATGGAACAGCTAGACATGATGAAAGTGCTCCACATAAAAATAATTCGAAATTATCTCTGTTAGGACATGGACCCCATGGAAAACAAGTTGTGGATCATTTATTGAAGGAATATGGCGATGATGGCATTCGGCAATTTTGTCAGAGATGGAGACAAGCTTTTGTTGAAGCAGTTCATCCTCGTTTCTTACCTTCTGGCTGGGATGTAATGCACAGGTAAATTGCCTTGTTATGCAGATGTGTCAATATAGATATGCTATGATCAAGAAGCATTTCATTAAACCAACTTCAATCAAATCTTTATAAGGTTTAGATGCCATGGGTCCAATAGATGTCCAAATAAAGTTTTATTATATCTAGAACTTTCTTTGCCTCCACCTTACCACTATTGCATAACTTCCCATCTCTCTCTCTCTCTCTCTCTCCCCATCAAGACTGCTCAACACCGGTAGCACCAGCCCAATTTAATGTCTATAGAGTGACCAAACTGTCACTAGAAAGTTGTACTGACTTCGGATTTCTATGTGAACCTAGGCAATGCCAATGACTTGTGCTGGCAAGATAGCAAGATTGATAATTTACTCGTCACCTAAACTTATGCACAAAATCCAATGTTGTCTCTGTAGGCTATCTAGCATCTGCTGACCCTGTATATAAATACTTATATTGTGGTTCCAGAGTGCTGTATTTTATGATGATCTGTGTTTAAAAGTGCTTTTCCAAGTGTGTTTGGATGGGAAAATGGCTAGTTCTATGGAGCATCTTTAGTTGCTGTACTAGTTGCTTATTTGTTGGTACACTTGCATATGTTTAGTGACTGCACAATATGTATTAGACACTGAATTTTTGTTTATTTGTTCAAGGATTTGATTATGAGCGCTGTTTTTGCTAGTGGCAGAAGAGACTTCGGTGAATTTAGCGTGTACAATCCTGCCAAGAAAGCACCTGCTGTGAACACTTGACAGATTTCCCAGCTGCTGTATAATACCAACAATGGAAGTCACTCTAAAAGCTTCCTGTTCGTATCAAATTTTGTTCCCCAATTCATACCTTCGTTTGTTGATCAGAATCGAATTTTTATTCATTCAATTTTTGTCAAAATTGACATGCATGAAATCAGATGCAATAAGAACCATTTTAATTTGTTTTCTTTGATTATTACAATATGCATGGTTAGAGTTTTAGCGTTTGGCATCAGTTCGGGTGCTTTTCTTCTTTAAAAAATCACTTTCAACCGTGCATTACGGAACACACAAGAACCAAAAATTTCTGCTGCCCAAGCATGACGAGTTTTCCAACCTAATGTAAGGTACTGCGCATGCTGTTTTTTCATGGATGTCATTAATTATTCAGTAAAAAAAATGTCATGATTAAAAAAATAACTAAGCTTTGTAATGAAAAAAGAAAAAGGACAGAGATAATATTCACAATGTTGGAATGTAGAATTTACATTTGGAGAAATTTATTTTTTCAAGATACACGATATTGATACAAAGAATGTATTCTTAAGTCATAGGATATCCCTCCTTATCATCGAATAAAAGAAAAACCATTTTGATACTAGTCAAAGTGACATATTGATTGAAACATTAGTCTTTAACTTCATAACGAAACGGCTGTAAACTGAGAGACTAGCGTTGGGACTTGAGAGTATCAATCTGTTTTTGGTGAAGGGACTTAATTGAACAATTTTAAGCAGTAGAGGAACGAAAAGGATTATAATCCCATTTCTTAATCATTAATAAATAAAATGATGCAATATTAAAAATTAATCTTCGTTGATTTCTGGATAAACCTTAATAACTTGAAAAATAAAAACCGCGACTTTAATCACCAACAAAATAGAGCGATTAAGGATTCTTCTTTCCAGATTAAAATATTAAAAACTCCCTCTTCTTGTTTATATATATATATATATATATATATATAATTAAAGCAGCGTGCCTATGCTTCCAAGGAATATGCATGCTATATTTTAGTGAGTTTTCTTGATTTAGAAAAAATCATACCTTATTTTGACAAATCAGAGTATTCCTTTCTTCTTTAAAAGAAGGACAAGAAAAGGAGTTACATGGATATTTTGCCCGGGCATCATTCAGGTAAGGCTCCCAGATAACTACTGTCAGTATTAACAAAGTGGATTTTGGTACAACTTGCTACTTACGCAGTGCTAGGCAAGCCTGATCAGCGGTGGCATCTCTTCCAGAAGTGGACACCAACAGAATACATATATATATTGTAAAAGGGCAAGGCAGAAAGGATGAATCCCCCTCATCAATCAAGTTACCGCTGTTGCCCTCTTAGACAGAAGGTGAGAATTTTTCCAATTACCTTTCATTTTCTTTTATACCATTTTCAATTTCTTTCTAAGCCAAGTTATACATTTACAAAAACTTGAATATCACCAGAACTCCCTGCCTTCCCCCAACCCCCGTATCTGAACAATGTAAAGAATGCCTCCTTTAAATGATAAAGCTCTTTAACTGCAAAAGGTCTACTGCTCCATCATATGATGTGGTGATCTGCCATTAGAAACCAAACGGGTGAGTATTTAATCTTAACAGAAATTTTGAAAGTCAAGTAGTTGCACTAAAGGGAAGGCAAGAGCTTGCCTGTTCCTGCAAAGCATTTTTACAGTGCCAATAATTGAGACCTTTGATCAATGCCGTTGAATATGAAAGTCCCCACCATGGGAACAAATTGTTTTGTTATGAGCTGTAAAGAAGAAAGAATTTGTAATCTCATCATTAAGATTTAACTTCAGATGGTGTAGTTTAAAAAAATAAGAAGGCCTGCTTTTTCATCTAGAAAAACTTAAATCCGACACTATAGTGGCATAACTAAGAGGACATTGTGCAATAGGGATAAGATATATAAAAACCTTGATCACTTCTTGCGATGCAATTCCCCCAATAAAGGCAGCAACTGCATGAAGTTCAGAAGCACCAAACCGGCACATTTCACTGATAAGGTCCTCGGTTACAGTTGCGCCATTGCAACCCAAGTCGGTAAGTAGACCAACAACGGTGGTTTTCAGTCGAGATATATCCTCATCCATTTCCCTACGACACCAATGATAGAGTAAAACTCAGTTTGGTAGTAGAATGAAAAGCTTTTTGGAAAAAGAGTAGCCGGCAGGTTTCTCAGGTGTTACCCTTCAAATTGTCCAGGAAAACTGTTATAATTAGCAGCAAAGCGGTCAACAGCCCGAAGCAGGATATAAAACCCCATGGCAACACTGCAACTCAATGTTAACAGAAAATAAAGGTTATGAGCAAAACAAATTCCTCTCGCCTAGGCTAATATACAGTTCATTTTTGTTCTAATGTAAGACTCAGAAAGGTAAACCATAAGGTGATTCTCACCCGTATTCCTCATCAGTTAAATACTTCTGTAACTCTGATACTGCAGGATTGTTGAACTCATCTTCAAGAAGTCGATACCTGCAAACCTACAAAGAAGAGTTTGAAAATGCTCACTAACAGCATCTCATCTAAGAACAATATAATCCATCTCAAAGAGGAACAATAACAAGCCTCCATTATGCAATGAGTTATAATGATGTAGTTGCATGTCTAGCTGACAACATTTTTGGAACACGAAAGGAAATGCTTTAACAGAGATCTCATTTGAATTGTCTAATTGGGTAACATTTCAAAAGTTATATAACTCTACAGCAATGCCTAGGAGATAGTACGTATGCTATCACTTCAACAAGTCCTGGAAACTAGAATATAAATGGGTATAGCTAATGGCGAATACGACTAATTCTGATTAGAAGTACAAACATAAAACTTTTAGTTAGAATATGAATCATAATGTAAGGATAAAGGCACTTCAGCCTAGGTACTTCGACAATGAAATATCTGAAAAATAAACAGTCGCATCAAGAGGAGATACACATTATCAATTACAGACTAAAATAGAAAATAAAACAAAATATATGAACTTACCTTTAGTTTTCTTGCATTTTTACAGAAGCTTTTAATCATTGCCTTTGAGATGCTATCTGGATCTCTACCGATTCTCTTCAGAATATTCTTAACTCTTTGCTGAATAGCAAGAAAATCAACCTCAGCTTTTTCTTGGTAGATCTTCTGCAAATTTACATAAAGCCTGCAAAAGAGTTGATACTCGTCTTACATCTTCTTCTTTTTTGTTATAATTTAAAATAATGTGGAAGAAAATTAACCCCAGACGGGTTTAGTCACTAACTCAGTTGAAGATGTCATATCAGGTATTGAACCCTCAAGAGGTACCTCCCCACCACCTTCATTTGCAATGAATTCCTAAGAATGTGAGGATAACTTCACAAAATCAAACTCTCAAATATGGAGTGTGATCATAAGAAATAGAGCTTAATGTTATCATCAAACTAGATCCTATCCACACACATTTAGTTGCAAAAATTGAGAATGTCTTACAGACTCCAACAGACACTGAAACGGCTGAAAAGCAAAAGAAGAGACAGGGAAATGAATATAAGATGCAAATTAAAGGTTGAAAAAAATGTCCATCCCTCAGAACTTGTCCACAAAGCCTAAAAAGATAGAATTTACGGCAAGCCCATTGAAAGCATCTACCATGAAACCCAAACCTCTAATAGTCCTATTACTTTCTTTCCCAGCAGTGAAAATTCATGAGCACAGTTCCATGCATAGTGCCCAATCAAATGATTGCAAAACACCTTTAAAGAGTGGGCATAACTGCAAGACATCCAGAGGTTACCCAGACTTTTGTCCAAACTAGTAGTTTAGGAATAATATAAACAATATTTTCCTTAAAGAGAACCGGCTTCCAAAGAAACAATTATCAGTGATCTAAATTTTTCCAACAGTAACATTATCTATCTCAATATTCAGCTGGCCAATTTCATTTCGCCTAGAGTCCACAGCAAGCTTGTCAATCCAGTCAGTAAATAATCCTAAAGCATCATTTCTACAGACTATAATACAGGTGAATTTCACTTTAAGCACTGTCAATTAACAATTGGAAACAAGAGCGAGCTATGACATCAAAGATCCAAGTCAGATTGTAATGCCCAACCTTCAAAGCAGCAACCATCACCCAAAAGTCAGATGAATTAGACTCAACTTCACTGCAGCCATCATGGATTATTTTCTGCAGATCAGTACCTAAGATACCAAAAGCAAAGAGCAGCAACATTAGTAAGATCAAAGCCACCATTCACATGGAACTAAACGATGTTGTTAACATTTTCAGCCATTTTTTCCTTCTTTCCTTTTTTTTTTTTCGTTTATATTCTTGAAGTCCACCCCAAACATCATATTAATTTCAATGTTAAAAAAAATCCCTATACAATTAGATTTAAAAGCTACAACTGTATTTACTGTGTTAGATGAATATAAATATCAGTCAGGGTAGAAAATGTGCAAGAAAACTTAAACAATTATGTGGATAAGGGGGCAAGGTGACACAGACCATTTCTAGTGAACTCATTCTGGTATCTAAGCCACACCAAATCCATTCCTACAGGGTAGGACAGGAGTTATAACAGCAATATCTGACCCATTGCTGTTCCAGCGCACAAAACAAGTATGCATGCATGCACCCTTTTTTTTTTTTTTTTCCTTTTATAGCTAAAAGTAAAAAGCTTCCATTAGACCTTTATGATTACCAATGTGAAGAATGCAAGCGTGAGCCTAACAAAAAAGCTATACTTCTATCAATCTCAATCAACAAGTTTCTACAGGAATATCATCCTTCCAAAAAATTTAAACCCATTCTTCTAAATATTTTATACTCACTAATTCCTCGAGGAGCAAAGACTTTAAAGGAAGCTTCAGTAGCTTCTGTATAGTTGTCTTCATCCATTGCAACCATTCCTGCTTTTAGAAGCTCCTAAGAGATTCAAAAGCCAGAGTAAATGGCATTAACAGACAGAAATAAGAAGAGAACCCCTAAAAAATAAACTGTGAACTAAATTATAACCTTGAATTCTTTTTTCTCATCCCTAGTTGATGGGAGCGCACCACCATGAGCTTTGGCCCACTCCTCAGCCATCTTGACAAGAATGACAACATAAGGTGTGTGCTTATGGGCAACAGGGTCTGACACATTTAAATCAATGCTTTCTGCAAACCTATCATACATGAATACCATATAAGAAACTTCGAAGTAGAATTCAGCATGTGTGCTTAAAGCTCCAACCAAAAAAGGAAGGAAAAAAATGTGAATAAAAAATGGATTATGTTCTCTGGGTGAAGCATAAAATGAGGCAGAGAAGCCCTCCATCCCACTTTGTTTGTCCATGTTTCCTTTTTAGAGATATCCCATAATTTCCATCCACTTTCTAAATGAAGTAAATGAAAAAACATGATTTTCTCAATTGATTTATTGCAAGTCCCTTTCAAAATATATGGAATTATACATTTTCCAAGGCAGGGATGTTTTTTAGAATATGCACAGCAAAGAAAACAATAAATGATGTTTTAATACATAGTTGGAAATCAAATGGGATGGACGGAGTAATATATTTCTTTGATTAACCAGAGCCAGTAAGCAGAAGTCTACTGATATCAGATATGCATACGCATTGCAAAACATCAATCCAGAATAGATAGAAAGGCAATGCCATGTACCTTTCGAGCTCAGGCCATGGGTTATTTAACCGTAGGTCCTCCAAGAAATGATCAGGCTTTGACTCAATTACTGCATGTTCCTGTCTCAGGCATGTAAAATTCAATTTAGGAACCCTTAGATTCAGAGAAAGCAAATTTCAGACTTTACAGTTGATATGTTAAAAAATGTTTCCACTCATGCCCATTTCAGTTTTTATATTCTTCAAATTTGGGCTCGACAGCTACATTCCGTGACCCTACATAACTTTCTAGTAAGAAGCCCCAATCTCTTTTCACATCAACTTATGAAAAAAATGAAAAAAGTCCAAAAAATTGAATGTGAGAAAATTAAATGGCGGTGTACCCACAAAGGGACCAAGTAGGTCATCCATTCAGTGCCTCAATGCAATTTAATCCTCAGTTTCTAGAAGGCTGGGATAGTTAAAAGCAATTTCAATCATGATGAAGTAACACAAAATCACCTTCACACTAATTCTGACAAACCCAGTAAGGCCATAGGAGCGTGCAAAAATCAACAAAACCTTTGCCTCCCTGCAGATTTTATCAAGCTTTACCATTGAGTCTTCTGCCAACTGCAATTGATATCAGGAAACATCCATCAAAGATATTGCACGGAAAGAATGAAGATAATAGAAAACTATGTTTTGAGAAACAGCAAATTAGAATATCCAATCATAAGATGGATGGAATTGTTTTCTGATGCTTAAACAATGAGGAAAAATTTGTGCAAGAATGAAAAATGGCAGGCGGAAAATCCATGATTAGGGTACCAATTTTCCCTTAACAAAACCACATACAAACATCAACAACATATTAATGATCCAAAACAACGTGACATGCCAATATAATCATGGCAAAAAAAGCAATACATCAAACATATCAGAATCAATAACCCAGAGCACGGCATTCCATCAAGAAGCATAAGTAACCTACTGTCATAACCGAAATTCAATACCTGAGTGGCTACAACCAGCGTAAACTGCGAAAAGAAGGAGGGATTCGAGTCAATCAATGCCTTAGGATATTCTTCTATAAACTTGGCTTTAACGGCATCATTTAACTCTTGAAGAAACGTGCACACACATTTCGCCTTAGATTGCCCAACACAAGACACATCCACTAAAAACCAAAATCACAAACAAGAAAAGGCACAAATAAGCAAAAACCAAAGCAAAATAAGAACGGAAGAAAAGAAAGAAAGAAAACATACCCATGAAATTATTTCCAAGGTCACCCTGTTCAACTTTAGACCCATCAATCACAGTGATGGATCCAACTCCACCAAGTACAAGATTTTTCAACGTCTCGGACCCGGTAGGACCGCAATTAAGCAAACAAATGCTGGCTTTTTCTAGGGCAGCCTGTCCTTGCTCGCCCCATATCCTAAACATTTTAAAAACAAGCACCACATAAATAGAAATTCCACATTCACATCTGTCAAAGTTTACTACACCTTTAGCTTATGATTATAAATTATAAATTATAAATTTCTCATTTTCATTCATCTCCCCTTCCCGAAAGAAAAAATATAACACATTGCCAAAAAATTGCAGCTTGAAAGAGATGATAAGTAAGAAGTAGTACCTGAGTTGGCGATCGTATTTGTTTTTTGGCTCTGCCATTGTTTAGGGTTTGCTTTTGCTAGCTACTGTCCACTGTGAAGTTCGCTTGATTGCTACGCAGTTTGTAAGGGAAGGGAAGAGGAAGACCGAGGAGAGAGAGAGTATATGTGTGTGTGGATGTGCGTATATATATGTATGTATGTGTGTGTATGTATGTATATATGTAGGCGTGGGTAGGCCCAAATTGGAGAACGAGCCCAGTATTTCTGGTCATCGAAAGAAATGGAGGTCGCTCTTTAGGGATTTTATTTTTTTAATTTTTTATAATAAAAAGCATCTCCAGCGAATTTACATGTCAATCTCGTCATCCCTCACATTGATACAATTAAAATTCACATTTTAGTGAAAAATCACTCTTATTATTATTATAGATTTATTTTTTTTATTTTATTTTACGGATGGAAATTTTGATTGAGAGTTCAAACTCATAAATAAAAACGTCATAAATTATATATAAGAGGTAATATCAAGTGTTAATGATCACTTTACGAATTCTCTAAATAAGATGGAGAAAAGATATTTTTCCTCACATTTTACCATCAATTACACTATGTTCAAGTGTTGTAGTTATTATTTTTTTTTATATAAAAAAAATTCGTGTTGTGTTAACTTGTGTTTTACTCTAATTTAAAGTAAAATATGATACTTTTTAAAAAATGTTGTTTTGCTTTTAAATCGGGACCAAGTTAACCTTTCCTTTCGATAACAAGCAAAGCTATTTACTGTAAAGTCTAGTAATTTCTAAAGTAAAATGTGATTTTTATACACATAACCTCAATTGTCAAGCAATAGTTTTTACCGATACTCGCTTTTAATTAATTCCAACAAAATAGTATGATGGTTAAAAAAAATTATTCTATTCTTTTAACTTTTACATTCAAATCTTGATGTTAGCACTCAAGAAAATTTACAAATAAGCATATAGATATTGTATTCTTCTTTCTCGTATAAAGATAAAATTCATGAATAATTTTTATGGAGAGAAATACAACTTCTACAATTCTAATAATTTCTCGGAGTTATAGATCCTTAAATTTAGCTAATGATTGGTTCTTAAGTGCTTCCTTACATAATTATGATTATATCATTAAATAAAATTAGATTCGCAATTTATAATTTGAATAAACTATTTTTATTATAAGTGTCATGCCTTTAATAATAATAAATCTGTAGAAAGTAGTGGCTTTGATCCCTTAATTGAACTTAATTAAACTTGTAAAGCAAGTTGTGGTTTGATTAGCTTACGTAATATCCGTGACCTAAAACCCTTCTAAAAATATAAATATACTATATAGACAATGTATTTAATTAACAAATAGTATGTTTATTAAATGTGTGTACAAGGTTTAAATTTTACTTTAAGGATAAAGGAAACATAAGAAAGGTTAATGGAATAGATTAAGAGAAGGAGCAAGGCTTGAATTAGAGGTTTGTACCCTTAATTGATACGGCTATGCTTTGTCATAAGGATGCAATTGCAAAACCTAGAGGTGTAATTGCAAAAACTTAAAAGTTTGGGGGTACTCAATTGAAATAAATAAAAAATTTAAGTGACCGCTTTAAAATTTGAGAATGCTTAGATTAAGGGCCTATTTATGAAAAATTTAAAGTTTGATGACTGAAATAGAAGGAATTGAGGCACCCAAATAAGACAATTAAAGGTTTAAAGACTAAAGTGTAAAACGATAGTGTATTGGGAGATTTAATGATGGATTTTAGGAGAGTATTTCTAGCAAGATAAATTTAGAATTTTGATAGAAAGAGAGAGAGATAAGTCGATGATGGAGAAGAAGAAAGGAGGAAAAAGAAGAAAAATCTTGATGTATTTAATGAACCACCTTGAGATCAATCTAAGTGTGGCACACTTGGCTTGATCTCGAGGAAAAATCGTAGCTAGAAATAGGGAGAAGGAAGAAGATGGAAGGTTAGACACCATTAAAACTCCTAAGAAACCTTAAAGAGAAAGACATTCCCAACCACCTAAACCATCAATCCCAATCACCTTAATTAGTGTAGAAACACTTAAAATCAACCTCCAATATCAGCTTAGAAGATCAAGTAAAGAGAAGGGAGAATTTCTTATCTTAGTTGGATTTCTTTGAAGGAAGGAGTCAAGTGAGAAAGAAGGAAAAGTGAAGCAAACTCTAAGTGAGGTGAGTGTAACTCCACACCTACACCATAAGAATTAATGTTTGAGGTGTGATTAGTGTCAATTTATGGTTTGCTTGATAAAAGGATTATGAATATGATGTTTATCATGTTCATTGATTGTACATGATATGTTTTCATGTTGCATGTATAGTTGATTGTTTGGAACATGTAATTGATTTATTATGATTATACATGTTCTTAAGGATGTAATAGTATGCATGTCAAGGTTATATTTATTGCAATGTAATTTATTTAAATACATATGCTCATGCACATCATAATCATGAAAAAAAATTTACATTCATGATTTTGATGAAAAGGAAAAAGAAAACGAAAAAGGTTTGCAAAAGAAATGGCTTAGTGCTTTCTTGAGCAAATGGACATGCGTTACATGTTCGAGGTTATAGGAAAGGGATGACTCTTTCATTTTTGAGGATTTATAGAAAATGAAGGGTGACCTTTATTGAAGTTTATGGGAGAGGGACAATCCCTTATTTCTTGAGGATTTATGGGAAAGGAAGGGTGACTTTTCTTAAGGATTATGAGAGAGGATTGATCACCCTCTTTTGACGATATGGACACACTTTGTATGTTGAGAATTATGGAAAGGTACCTATTGCTTTTTGAGATTTTCAAAAATTGCATGTTTTTACGAGAGGGTCGATTATATACACAATCAACAGGACGCATGCCCGAAGAGAAAAAGGAATTTTACAAAAGTTGCATCATATGCATTCATATATAAAGGTCATCACATGCATTGTATAGGTTATATTTATCGCGCATTGCATTGCTCACCTTTGTTTTCTTATGGTGCAGGAGATGATAAAGATAAATAAAAAGTCACTACTAAGACAAACGAAAGACTTACCCTTTTATGTGCTTAGGATAATGGAGTATGTGAACTCTACTTACGCTTATCTTGATTTTTGGTCATATGTGTGTATTAGCAAGTTAAACAAATTTTGGGTATATAAATTAATTAATTGAATTCTACTTTGTATTAATGAAAATATGACTTTAATGTTAAGTTAATATTATGCCAAAACTCGCTACCTATAGACATGGTTATATAATATGGCTAAGATGATATATTTGATAGGTCATGAGAGAGAATGAAACTAATATATAATAAAATAATGAATTAAGGATTAAATAAGGAAATTAAAAATAGGGATATCCTAGATTAATAGGAACCAAAGTTTTGATTTAAAAGGCTACATTGTTAGTAAAGCTTTTGATAAATTAGTGAAGGTATTATGAGATTTAAGGAAAAATTTATATCCAAGTTATATACAAGTGGAACTAGCATCTCATACTCATTAGGGACCTCGGTTATAAAAATTTCCCACTTGCTAGTAATCGAAAAAGGTAAAAGAAAGAGGCTCATTAGCATACATTCATTGTTCTTTGAATGTAAGTCAAAACCGATAATATCCACGACCTATCTAGGTTGTAGGTCGGAGGTGTTACGGAGTGGTATTAGAAAAAGGATTACACTAGTTATTTAAGTTAGGATGAGTGATTAAGCACACGCAAGTCACGTCTTGGTGGCAAGTAAGATTCAAAGGTATGTAATGCTTGGTAAGTGTGTGATTGCTCCGAATGTTAATAAAGATATATGATATGCTTGAGTGGAATGATATTAAGGATATGTGAAGAGGAAATGTTGTTGGAAATTTAATGGCTATTACATGATATGTTATTAAAGAAAGGTGAAGAATAAAGTATGAGTTAAAATTATGAAATTGGTTAAGGATGCACACGGGCATGGCATTTTTTCCTTCCAAGCCATGACAAACCTTACCGCCCATGTGTTCCATTATCCATTTGAATAGTATATTTCAATTAGTATACTTACATAGCAATATAACATTTCCTTTATAATCAATGTACATACATGGTTGTGTAACATTTCCTTTCCAAACCGTGTCAAGCAATTTTGGTCGTGTGTCCTCTTTTTCTCTAAATGATATATTTTAATTAATGTACATATATGGTTGTGTGATATTTCCTTCCAAATTAGAAGGATCAATTTTGGCCATGTGTCCCATTTTTCTTTTAAATAATATGCTTCATTGATGTATACACATGGCCATGTGAGATTTATTCTCAAACCATGTTAATAGATTTTGCCCGTGTCCCCTCCTCTTTCTTTAAATGATATTGTTCCAATGAAACACGCATGGGTATGTGTGATTTGCTCATCAAACCGTGTCACGACAATCTGTTCGTATGCCATTTTCCTTATGTGAAAGAGTATTTCATCAACGAAGCAAGTATGGGTATGTGTAAATTATTCTCTAAACCGTGCATTAGGATTCCACCCATGTGTTTTCATTTTTTCTTGAAAGTGTGTTTCTCCATTAAAATACATACGGATGTGCTTCAATTACCCATTAAACCGTACTAATAGCTACTACCCATGTGTCACACTTCTCCTTATATTAAACTTCCTCAATGGACATGCACATGGGTATGTCCCTTTTATTCTCTAAGTCATGCAAAAGGCTTCGCCTATGTGACTCTCTCTTAAGAACTTTATGCAATTATATGACTACCTCAAGTCCATTGTGAGTTGGTTTCCATGTATATGGTTTAGCTTATCAATCCTAAACCTTTATAAGAATGCAATGAATGTTAGTTAATTTAATGTGAAATGTATGAATGTTGTTTAAATCATGCATTGATGATTAAATGCCATATGTTGATATGAAAATGTTATGAATCATGATGTTTGAATGTGAAAGTGAATATGTTAATAGTTAAATTAATATTAAGTAACTAGGGAAGAAGAAACTAACGAGGTGTATAATTATATACATGTGGTTAATAAGAATGCCTCTAAA